GCTCTACCAACAGTCCTACAGAGCAGTAAGTGATTTCTGCTCGTAGACCGTCGTTGTAGATAGGACAGATTAAATTCTTCGGGATGCCAGTGTAAAAAATGTTTAGTAGAAAAGCGCTCCTTTGATAGCATCTCCCTTGTTATGAACTGAAAATTTTGTCAACATCTTGACAACAACAAAATTTTGTCAACAACAATAAATGGAATTTAATTCATCTTTTAACAGCGTCAAATGAAATGTAATTTTTAGCTAATTGTTGAAACATAGAAACCTTTTTAGCCCTAGATCCCACTAGTAACTAAAAATTTTGTAATGAGCCAGTACCCAATGAAAAATAATTTAAAAAATTCCCCCCCTTTTTTTTAAGAGTAATATCATATAATTGAGCCGATAAATCTGCCTGCATAGCCTCGAAATCTTAAAGAAACACTGTATATTGACAGTTCAATATATATAATCTCTAGTTGTTACGCAACAATTTTGAAATTTGCAGTTTCGTCATCCAAATCTGTTTTAAATTTCCCAACAGAGGTATATAAGGCGAAGCATTCACGCGATGGGGCTACATCATTAGAAAAACAAGTCAAAAAAAGACTCAGCTATATAAGTTCTAAGTTATTCTGTCTCTGGATATCTTAAATAAATAGTCTTCAAAGCAAGTACCAGAATACCTCAAATTGAGACCTTTAGACATATGAAAATTCAAAACAATATTTATCGACTCAAAAGTGGACTAGTTAGTTCCTGTATCTCGCCATCTATCCAAATAATCATTTCTTTTCAAAACTTTCTTCTTTGTCTTTTGAATTCTGAGGCAGTTTGGATAACATTTCATATAAATGTCCCTAAGTATCGTTTTTATATAAATGGTTTTTGTCATCTATTTTAGTCTTATTTGATTTATCTATCTGCTAAAAATAACATATCATCAATTGGCTGGATTTCGATAGTGCTATTTACTAACCTGAGTATTTTAGCAAAACATTTAATTCTTCTTACAAAGTTTGAAGATATATAGTAGATACCAAAGGTTCAGAGCAATAGGTAACTTGGGCGGATGAAAGATTTACAGGTACTATTCAAGACTGAACGACTACATTTCCACAGACAATTAGCAAAGCGTTTTAAAGTAGGAATCGTTGAATACTACATTCAGAAATAGTACACTCATGTCCATAAATTAAGGATAATGCAAAATCAGGCAAAGGAAGAGTTAGAAGCAAAACAAATTTGACTTATTTGTAAAGCTTATTTATTAAACAAAAGGTAAAGAGCAAAAAAAGATGCTATAAGTTTGATATTATTAAAAAAAATTACCGACTTTTTCTCGCTGGAGCAATTTACAAAAAAAAAAAAAAAAAAAAAAAAAAAAACTATTTACAAAAAAACCATTATTACATGGTTGGTATGACTGTTAATACATTGTATGTCTCCCAGACGATGCAATACAGTCCGTACAACGCCTAGGCATGCTGAGTATCAAATTATCGATCTGAACTTGGGGGATATTACACCACTCAAAAAGCAATGCTCACCGAAGTTTCGGTAGGCATGTAGGAGGAGGTTGACGGGCTGCAACTCAAATTAAAACATTCAAAATTAAAAGGGTTTCATTACTTTTTTGTGTGAGCTAAGGACATTTCATTACTCATTGATGCCAGCTTATAAAATATATTGTGGAAAAATTAAAAATTTTTGGGTTTTTTGTTTTTCAAATGGGTCAAAAAGAGTAGTGTGGTAAAGAAGCTATTTTTGAATGATTCATATCAATTAATGGATGCCCAGAAAGATTTGATGCTGCCATCTGTTATTAACTTTAAGTAGTAATTTAATTTTAGCAGCGGTTTTGAGGAAAAAAAATGAAATTTTCTAAATTAAAAAAAAATGTTGAAAATGCGGTTTCAAGGCGAAACCACCGCTCCTGAAAGGGTTAAGAAGCAGTGCAGTACAGCGCAGACCTACTTCCTAGTGGTGTACCCTGGGCAACGTTCTTTATGGTAAATACAGTTTTTGGCATGCGGTCTCATCTTTTTAGTCCCCCCCCCACACACAGCCACATTGGGTTCTGCAAATTTTAACCGAAATGCCGGTGATTCGCCTGGTTTAGAGCAGAATATAGTAACATTGAATTTATGATGTATAAACGAGTTACATATTAGGAAAATATTGAGAAAAATCTTCTGTTATATTAAATGCTTTTGACTCTTTTTACAACACTTTTTAAAAATTAAACATAGAAAACCCATAATTTGTCGAAACTTTCGTCTTCTAATTGAGATCTAGTTTTTTTAAAAAATTTCTCAGTCACTGAAAAAAACTATCTTAGACTCTATTCTTATCGTTGGATAGCCATTGGAAAAATATATGCTACTGAAAATATTTTCTTATTTGTTCTCTCTGAAACTATTCCAATTCCTTTTCAACAACTTAATTGAATTTCTTTCTTTTTTTCCGTGAGCTCAGTTATATATATATATATATACAGGGATTGTCAAGTGGTGTTACTTCGCCATCCATGAAGCTGGGTACAGATATATATATATATATACACTTTTGGTGCTGCTGATTGCCTCCAAAAAGGGAGGTGCACAACTACATACTATAGCAGTCTAATCTATCCTTTCTCAATATTGTGATGATGTATGGATATGATGTTTAAAACGTGAGGAAATTGAAATTAAATTTTCTTCTTTAAAGCGAGTTGCTACAAATTAGGCTGAATCAGATGATAAAATTTGTACTGCTTTGATCGACGCCAAATCTAAAGAATTTGGTGTTGAATATGAGAAAATTGAAGAATATCGAGAAAAATTAGATGTAGTTCGCATTCGTAATAAAACATGTCTCGATAAACTTTCAAATTTTTGTGAACCGTTGGCGACGATTACAGGTGAAAAACTTTCCAATAGACCTGGTTAAATTCAGCATGGAAATGAAAGATTGCTTCGCGTTTTGGAGTCAGTTTAGTAGAGTTCATAATGATCAGTCAACTGGTAATGAAACAAATTTCAGTATCTTATTTAATGCATAACAGTTAGCAGTAGAGCTTGAGAAATTGTAGATAGCCATCCGCCAATTTCTTATAACTATGCAAAAGCCATTAAAAGCCTAAAAGTAAGATTTGGCCGCCAAGAGCTACTTGTTGAGTATTATGTTCGCGAACTGCTATCACTATTAGTAAAATATGTTATGATCATAAAAAGATGAACATCATGCAGCTATGTGATAGATTGGAGTCATATTTGACGTCTTTAGAGTCGACTGGCGTAACTACTGGCAAGTATGCTGCTATGTTATCCCCCATTGGTGGAATTATGCATACCCGAAATGATCAATAAAGAAGAAATATGCTCTTATGGTGAGAAACCATTCCAGTTATTCTTGTTTCTCCCCACAGAAGTTGAGGGTGAAGAACGAATTCCTTTAGGCAAAGCTGGTTTTAAATGAAATTAATCAAAAATAAACAAAAAACGAACTTTTAACTGGGGCTGACTATGCTGGAAGTCTTTCACCGGGAACTTTTTCCATTTATCATCTGGTCTTGTTGCAATACAAACACTACTCGGCTGGATTATTATGGGCAAGATAAACCACTGCATTTCATCTCAAAGTAATATACCTTTGATAACCGGTATGATAATTCACAATAATAATTTGGAGAATTTATGCAAATTAGATGCTTTGGGAATAACTGACCCCAGTGAAAGTAAGTCTAGTGTAGAAATGGAAATTGATGTATTGGATCACTTTCATAGGACTCTGAGAAAACGTGATGGTGGTAAATATTAAGTTCAATTTGCCATAGGTCGATGATTGGAATAATTCACCAGTCAATAGAGACATTGCTGAAAAGAGATTGCTCTCAACTACAAAGAAAATTAAATTAGAAGAAAAATTTGAAGATTATAATACGGTAATCTAAAACTGGTTACAATCAGGAGTGGTCGAAGGAGTGCCACATAATGAAGCAGAGGGAAAAACACACTGCCTTCTAGATTTCTGGAATGGACATTTAAACTGAATTATTGTTTTGAACTGGGAACTTTATTACATGGTTTGATTACTAATTGTACATTATTAATCAACTGGTGAGAGGACTGCATACTCCACCTTTAGGTAGCCACAAAGCAAATCTGGCAACAAGTGTAATGAAATAATTTGCTCAATGCAACTGGCATCACTGTTTATGTTTAGAATTAATTTTGTTTTAAAGCATAAGTTCGCGATAAAAATTCTAAGGAGAAAGTAGATTAGCAACCTATCCATTCTCAATACGAGATATTTCTAGTGTACTTCCTTACCTCAAAACGCATGGCGTATTTTCGAAGTGAAACTGTCTCGAATAAACATTACATATGGGGAAATTCACGAAAACGCCCATTCAGCAAATCTCGTTCTTCAGGAATGAAACCGAGTTCGAACTATCACTGTTCAGCGACATTACCGCTTGGCCGTTGGTGGCTCCGAGACATTTATGACCATCAGGTTTGAATATAAGTCTCATAATTTAAGGTGTTTCCTAGTAGTCTCTGGAGTGAACAAAAAGTTACAAATTACCTTTTTATTCCCTGTAACTGATTATATCGGCATGAAACGAACATAAAGTTGGGGACAGTCTCAGTTGTTATTGCTCATTTATATCACAGTCAACTGTCTATTCACTTGCATTTTAAAACTTACCTTTTAAAATACCTATCTTCTGACATTTTGATATAAGAAAAAGGGAAATCGTGGACGAGAACAGGCGAGGCGACTTGTTAGTTAAAAAATTCTGAAGAAAAGAAAAGGAAAATAACGATTTGAGATTATATCTTTAAAAAGTTTCTTTATTTTTCTGCTCTGGCTACCTGTTGTTATCAAACAAATGGAGAAATTTAATTTATTTGATATCGAAAGTATTTTACAATTAATCATGTTTTATTTTCAACTACTGATTTACTCTGCTGATGGCAACAGAAAAATATTCTAGAATTTGCTGTTTTTATTTTCGAAGCCAATGTAGAAATATAACGCATGCGCTTTCCCGCCAGCGGAGAAGGAATTACCTTGACGTTGCGGTAGTGATTGCGGCGAATTCTAACAATATTAGTTATTTTATACATTCGTGCGATATCTTTTAATCAAAGACAGAAAAAATAATGGCTCTTCCAAGGTGCTATTTTGATATGACTGCTGATGGAGAACCGCTTGGAAGGATCGTGTTCGAAGTAAGAATTCGCTTCCTTTATATCGCTTTAATCAAATATCTGCATTAGCAAATGTGCATATAATCTAATTATAAAAATTAATATCGGCGTTTTAATTACCATATATATATATATTGATAATTAGAATGTCCAGAATTTTTGTATCGGTTTTCTGTATTAATTGCTTATACTTTTGTTAAATCTCTGGATGCCGGTTTATTAAGGGCGAGGCCTGAAATACGGCTTTATATTAAATACATTTTGAATTTCTGCGAAAACAAAGCAATTTTTTCTCTAAAGTTCCTTATTTAGTTAGTTAAACGTATCATTTTTATAAATATCTGTTCTGTGAAATTTAGAATAACATATTTGTACTATTTTAATGTAACTGTTTAGCATTAGAGCATACACTATTCTGTCGGAATTTTATAGCGAATTCAAATTTTCCTGAAGATTGTTACTTCAGAGTCCAATACGAATACTGATGTCACAAATCCGCATTTATAAAAAGTTGTTAAAATTTTATGAAGAATTTCAAATCAGGGATGAAGGAGAAATTTTGTAAAATTAAATATATTAATAATATAAATAAATATATTTAAAAGTAGGTGAGCGAGATGGAAAGTAAAGCAAAATTTATTTTATTATTAACTTTTTAGAGAGTTTGTAATTTATAAGATGTATATTATCATATAATCATATAATCAAAATTTTAAATACCAATTTCTGCAGTATGATTGATAAATATATTGTCAAATAAAAAAACTAATTTTTTAAACATAAAAGTAGTACCCCAGCTTCCACTTTTTTTTTCAGGGAAACCCTGCAAAAATATATCTTAAATATAATCCATGAGTACTGTTTTGCATTATGATTCAACCTATTTATTTAATCATCTCTTTTCCATGCTGTTTGAGTGAATGTACTCTTCTCTTATATCCACGAATATCCAGTTTTATGTGATTTATAAGTTACTCGAGGTGAAACTGTTGTTATAAAAGAATAAAAAGCAAAGCATGCAGTGCATAAAATTTTAGTGAAATGAATTTCAAAATTGATAATTATCATGCAAAGTTAAGAATGTTCAAAGGCTGTGTTAAAGTTTTAAATTTAATCCATTTAAATTTGTTTCGTAGTTTTTGGGAGAATTCGGTAATGCATTTCTTAAAATGATAAAAGTATTTAAAGTAAGCATATGATCAGCATAGCAAATCCATAGTTTCTTCAAATAAAATTATGCCAGATATGTAGTAGAAAAATACTAAGTGTGAATTAACAGTTTTAGATTTTTGTTCCTTTTAATTTTTAATATTTCTTCTATTCTGTCATATTTTCTATCAGTTTCATAAACTAAAATTTTAAGTCAACTTGATGATTTCAAATGATATTTATAATGACTCAAAAAAATTTTTTTAGTGAATACATACCTAGAAAATTGCACATAGATGATATTTTTCTGTAGTAGTGAGTTATTTTTATTTCAAATTATGTGTATTAATATTTTAAGACCTTTATTGTATTTAAAATTATGATGTAGGAAAAAATTCAACATCTCAAAAATTAAGATGTCGAACTGTGTATCAAATTTTTCTTTGCTTAACATATTTTTATTTTTTGCAGTTACGATCTGATGTGGTCCCCAAAACTGCTGGTAAGTATATGATATTAGCCAGATGGTACTTTTATTAAATGAATGAAAATTTTGAGCTTAAAATTCAAAAGATTTGGTTTCCGATATTAAACATCTCTTGCACAAGTGAAAAAATGATCCTTTCTACCATTTTCTTTGATGTATTAATTATTTATTTTATACCAAATGGCTAAAAGTTATAAGATTAGCAATCAAAGTAGAAATTATGTATTACATAATAACTGATATGTTAGTTATCAATCACAATATAGTTTCGCACTAGTTACAGATTTACATTAATTTCAGAATAGCTGTTAATCATTTGGGCAATTTCTGGGGAGGTGAAGATTTTAAAGTAACCAGTGCTTTAAGGCCTAAAATGGGAACTGGCAATCAGTACTGCTGTTAAATAAAGTTGAATGCATATTATCTTCAGGATTAGTGCAATCTTTTATGTACACTGCAGTTAATAACAAAACTTGTCTCATCAGTGATTAAGTTGCTACTTTCATGTGATATATAGGGGTATGCAATAACAGCATTGCAAATAATTTTTAAAATATGTATTAATTTCTGTACAGTTGTGCTTAATAATATTTAAAATTTAAACCCCAAACTTCTTGGAAACAATTGTAGTTAGCCTTATGAAATCGAAATTAAGTCGTAGCTCTTAAGGAAATGAATTACATTTATCAGAAGGATACAGCATCTATCAAATTGAAAAAAAAATGTTAGGCATTTTAATAAATACCCTTTTCTCTCTCACACGCATTATGTATGTAAGATATTGCATAAATCATGATGCAGATGCTTACATAATGCTTAAAATTTTGCAATCTAAGTTTAATACTAACCATAAGAAATAAATCTTGAAGCTAGATCATTCTGAATTAAACTTTCATCTTAAGATGCACTGTGTTCTAAGATGAAAGGTCATTGTCACTCTGTCCTAAGAACCTGCTTGCTTTTCGCTGCTGTATTATTTTTCATTCCACCAAATTAATTGTTATGAAGTTGCAGTGTTGCCAGAACTAACAGTATTTCTGCTTGCCATCCATTCATATGGCTGCTGACCATTTGAGCAAAGTTTGTTAAAAATAAGTCGCCAATTTTATCATCTGTATATAAAGGGCAAAATGCACAGCATTAATAAAGTCATTTCACCTGAATTGTTCAATGAAACTGTAAATAATAAATCATTTTCTTTAATACTGAATGAGTCGGCAGAGTTTTCATTATGTAAGCATCTACGCGTATATGTATGTTGTTAGAATGAAAAATAAAATATCAACAAGGTTTTTAAGATTCAATTAAGCTGTAAATAAAAATTAAAGTAACACCAGATTTCTAAATAACAACACATATTTAACAGCAAAAAAATTGTAGTAGTTTTTATTAGTAATCGGAATCTGAAGTTAAATGAATCAACACGCTGAATGCAAAATTAAATGAAAATGATTAATTGTTAAAATACAAAAGAATTAATGTGACAAGTTTAATAAGCCAAACAAGAGGAAGCACCTAACAATGGATATAAATAAGCTAATTAAAAAATAGCAACTGGAAATTAGTTTAGAGAAGAAATACAGAAAATCTATTGTGTCTGTAAAAGATTTCAATACTGTGTTTATAGAATGATAAAATTGTGACTGATGTCACATTTATGGATACTTCTAAAGACTTCTTTGATTTGAAGATTTATTATATAGCTAAATTTTTTAGGTAAGCACATGCAATTTCAGTTCAAAACTAAAATTTTTGGTAAAATAGAAAGATTCAGAGTTTATTAGCAATTAATTTGGAAAGTGCACTTCTGGTGTTGATAAAATATACTAGCATGCACATAAATTCAGTTAACATTTAGTGAAATAATTTGTTTTTGCAGTTACATTGTGTCCCCAGTGAGTGTCTTAAGTAATGAATGAAATAGCAGAAAACTCCATTACAGTCAGTTGTTCAATTTCTTTCCTGATTTAGATGATTATAGTTAATGAGGATGATCTAAATCAGGGTTTTATTATTTTCTACAGTTTTTTCCTTTTAAAAATATCAGTTTTGTACTCTTTCATATGTAGCCTTGATGTAACTAAACACATTTTCGCTGATTTCATTGTGAAAAAAATGACGATGCATTGTACTCAGTGTTATTATTAAAAACATAAATTGGAAGTGCTGTTAGCTATGTTCTTGAAAGCTCTTGGGCTTATATTTCAGTTAATTAGTGCTATGTTTGCCTATTGAATCATATCTTATGTATATATATTCATTAGTTTTCCCCCCTTTATAACTTAGGTTAGTTTGAAGTCATGAAACTCATAAAAACAGAAAAAGAACATGTTAGCTATTGAAACTCTGAAGTGCTGGAATGTGTTGGTAGTAAAAAGCCTGAACATTGCTTATAATTATTTAATTTTTGCTTTAAAGTGGTATCAATTACCAAAAAAAAAGGGGAGGGGAGATTTTTTTAAAATTAAATGTACAATAAATATTCATATATAACATATATACACAGTTTTTAAGTATGTTTTTATATCACATATGCATGCTGTTTTTGTGTTTTTTAGATTAATGAGCCATTTACATGTGGCTTAAGGTCTGGTCCATATAGGCTGTTTAATCAATTTTTTCTATTTATATCAGTGGTTTTCAAACTATAAGTCAGGATACATAATGTGGATAAAAATGCTAAAAAGTCTAATTGGTGGTATGTAACGAAGGGTTGCACTCTAATTGGGATCACAAAATTATTTTTGAGGTTGTTTGCATTTTTATTGGGTGGCACTGTCATAAAGTTTCACACTAGTATATATTATGAGATGTTTTGTAATTTTGTTTTAATATTCTTTCAATATCTTTGAATTAAATATTTTCTGATAATTTTTTTTCAGAAAATTTTCGAGCTTTATGCTCTGGAGAGAAGGGCTTTGGATACAAAGGAAGCATTTTTCACAGAGTAATCCCAAACTTTATGTGTCAGGCTGGTGATTTTACTCATCACAATGGCACAGGTGGAAGGTCAATTTATGGAGACCGATTTGAGGATGAAAATTTCAATTTGAAACACACTGGGCCAGGTATTAACTAGTTTTATGCTAACCTTATTTTTAATGTAGCAAGCTCCAGAACCAGTTTATATCAGTTTTACAGAAACTGTTTATATAATGAAAGTGTCGAAGTATATATATTTAACTATTTTTAGGTGTCCTGTCAATGGCAAATGCTGGTCCTAATACAAATGGGTCCCAGTTCTTTATCACCACAGTCAAAACGAGTTGGTAAGTAAATTTTTCCTTTTGCATTTTATATGTATTTTTGCCTTGTTTGCCTCTCCTGATCCAATTATATGTAAACACTTCGAAAAGATTTGTCGAGTTACTTCCGATTTAACAAATTATTTTTGCATATGCATGCTTGCAATTCCTCATATTATGTAGATGTTCTTAGTTAGTCCCCATGTTCTCAGTCATTTACATGCAAATAATTAGAAGCAGTTTATTGAGTTACTACCAGTTTGAATGCTTGCAATTCCTCATGTGCAATCATATACAGAGTATACCACTATGTTCTCAATTACTAACATAAAAATCTCCAACTTTAAAATAATTAAACTTTCATGCATATTTTAATACAATGTTGTTCTAAAAAGAGTGCAGTACAAAATCCAAAATTCAAATCAATCTAATGTTAGGAAAACAGAATTTTTTCTTATAATGTCTAGAAATATTATATTCAGTTCCTCAAGAAAAAGTAGATGTGCTATGAAATCGATTTTTCTCCAGACTAACAGAGATTACTACATGTGACTTTTAAACACTGGTTTGGGATCATGCCCTGGCTAAATGATAATACATTGGTTAACATTGGCCATGATCACACTTTCAGCCCTTGAATTGACTGGCAGGGAAAATAGCATTTTTCTAATCTATTCCTTTCGCAATAATAAATGGTCTCACCTTCAAACATGTGGTAAAGTTGCTAAACACTGGTAGTTCGGCCTGGGTTTGATTCTTGGGAAACAGGTTGGTTGCATGAGAGTTTTCATGATTTTCCCCATGGGTAACATGGATACAAGTTAGTTTTCCTCAGGAAGTCCTCCATGTACACATTATCTCTTACCATAGCGGACGCCTTGTGTGCTGTGCATATTCAAATAACCTAACCCAACCTAAATCTCATCCAGGTGTAATTGTGATTCAAATATAGCAGAAGTGCCAAATTTTTTTACTTTCTGGATTTCTAAGGTTGAATTGTCTCAAATTTTGTTATAAAATATCAGTAGAAATAAAATCTGAGATATGATCTGATGATTTCCACATTGCAAATCACACAAAGTGTGTCTATTCAGCTCGTTCAAGTATTGCCATTTGGGGTACATCTCATATTATTGTTTGTGCCATGGATATCCTAAAGGAAAATGAGGTAGGAGGGTAAAGAGGTGAATTTCAGTCACAAGACTTGTAGCTATCAAAGCTAAAGTTTTTTACTGTTCTCACTGAATCTGATGACTAAGTGACTTCAGTATCCACTGATCTACGGAAAGCACATTTTATACCTAAGGATCAGAAACACTTTAATATTCATTGGAAGAAGGAAACATCATACAGACACATAGCTGTAGCATCAAAGGATTGGTACTGTCTAATGTTGGTTCATCTGGACAAGTTTATTTTCATGTCTCCAGTGAAAGGTGGTGCTTGGAGAATATGCTTTGTGTTAATTTTGTGCAATGTAAATTCTTAGTTTGTTTTTATGGCTGTTGAGTTCTACTCAATAGTCATGTGTTCGAGCCAACGAGCTTTTTGCTTTTTCTGTTTCTGAAAATGTTTTGTAAAAATGGAAATATTTCTATGTTTATTGTAAAACATTTTATGTATTCCTTAATTTAAATAATGAAATATTTATTGGAATCTGACATCAGATAAGTGAATGCAGGAATCCAATAAATTCCGATAGGAGAGTGATTGTGAAAGGAAAACTAGTCTGAAAGTAGTGTTTGGTTCAGAAACTGACATTAAAGGAATTTGTTTTTGTGCATATTGCAATTCTGCACTGTTGTGAAAGATTAAATCTTTTCTAACATGCTGTGCAAGAATTTCATGAGAAAGCAAGATAATCTAAGATGATAATTTTAAAGAGAGAAAGATGCTAATTTTACTGTCCTTATATTTAGGAGTTACAACAAAATGTTGGCATTATGAGAAAAACAAGATTGAAAGTGCTTTCACTGTCTTTTATGATGAAGCATTATCTTCCATTTTCATTGGCTCTTCACATTATTCAGTTAACTCAAATATTAGCTAATGACATGAATTCATTAAATTCATTACAAATGAGTAGAATAACAATATCCTACAAAGTCCATAATAAAGTATGGACTTGCACAGACTATTAAAGAGCAGCAGTAGGAAACTCTGAAAAAGTTTTCTTTTTTTTTTTTTTTTTTTTTTAAATATTAATGACAGCATGAACAAGAGCTAATGAAAGTGTTTGACAATTTTACATGCGGCACTACTTCCGCTTCATACCTGGCTACTCGCGTACTCAAACAACTAACAATTGACGAAGGAACTAAATTCCCAAAGGCAGCTGAAATAATATTACACAATTGTTATATTGATGATGTCCTATTTGGTTCAGACACAGTAGGGTTAATTTCACAACTGCTTGAACTTTTACAAAAAGGTGGCTTTCAATTGCATAAATGGTGTACAAATGATCGCTCAATTTTGGAAACTGCTTTGATTGCTCGGAACTCAATTCTTCATGTGCAGTAGTTGTACAAATCATAAATTTATTGGTTTTGGAGTGGTATCCAACGCAAGCGAATTTACTGTCACTTAGGAATCTCGAAAAAAGAGAGTGTTCTACTAAAGAATAATTTTATCTTTTTCGAAAAATCTCTGATCCCACTTGGTTGGTTAGCACCTTTTATAGTTGCAGCAAAAATCTTGCTTCAGATATATGGAATTACAATCTCGTGGGATGATCCTTGCCAGATGAAACGATCAAAGATGGAAAATCTATTGTGAGATATCGCAAATCTTGAATGCATTCATATTCCTAGGAGAGTATTTGCCCAAAGTTACAAATGTAAAACTTCATTGTTTCTGTGACGCATCAGAGAAAGCATATGCCGCAGTGATTTATTTAAAGTCTTCAAATAATTCTTCAGTTTCAGTGCAGCTACTAACATCAAAAACTCGTGTAGCTCCCCTGAAAGTAATTTATATTCCTCGTTTAGAACTCTGCTCTGCAGTTCTATTAGTGCATTTGGTTCAAGCTATGCAGATTTCATTGTTAATTTATGTTGACGATATTTACGCATGGAGTGATTCAATGATGGTTTTGTCATGGTTACAATCAAAACCCACACAAAGGCAAACCTTCGTAGCCAACCACGTTTCAGAAATTCAATCAGTCTTACCATCATCGCATTGGAATCACATAAAAGGGAAGGAGAATCCAGCTGATTGCGCATCAGAGGTCTTTTGCCTTCAGAACTTTCTACTCATGACTTGGGGTGGACAGGTCCTCAGTGACTTAATTCAAATAATATTCCGTTCTCTATCAACTTACCATTTTCAGGAGAGTCTTTAAAAGAACAAAGGAAAAATGTTTCTTCTTCAATTGGAACAGTTGCTTCGCAAATTCCAGTTCTTAATGAAGTTTCATCATTCTTGAAACTTAAAAGAATAATCGCATGGTGTTTTCGGTTTGCGAATAATTCAGCTAAATCTACTGCAACAAGGATTAAGGTTACTTTAAAACCGAAGAATTGCAATACGCTAGAAATGCAATTGTTAGAGTAAAGTTCAAAGGGATGAGTTTTTTAATGAAAATAATCTTCTGAAGAAGAACCAACCGTTAAACTTAAATAGTAAGAGCCTTTCTTTGAACCCTTTTATCGATGAGAATGGACTTATACGCGTTGGAAGAAGATTAAGACAATCCAATATCGCGCAGGACAGAAAATATCCTATTTTGTTGTCCAAGAAACATCACATAACCCATGTTATAGTGAATCATTTTTATGAATCCCATCTTCATGCTGGCCCCCTGCTATTGCTGTCAGTGATTAGAAGAGCATATTGGATAATCCACGTTAGGTCAGTTATAAGACAACACATTTTCAAATGTGTGAAATGTCATCGTGTACGAGCTAAGACATCTACTCAGATAATGTCTGACTTACCATCCTCTAGAGTCGTTCCATCAAAGGTTTTCTCCAAGGTTGGAACTGACTACGCCGGGCCATTTCAAGTGAAGCCCAGGCAAGGCCGAGGAGTAAAACCAATGAAATGCTACATTTGTGTATTCGTGTGTTTTACTACAAGAGCTATACATATTGAATTAGTAGGTAATCTTACATCAGAATCATTTATTGCCGCTTTGAAGCACTTTGTATGTCGAGAGGGAAAACCAAAAGAAGTGCATAGCGATTGTGGACAAATTTTATTGCTGCAGATAAAGAATTGAAAAGAGTAATAAACTCCTTGAATGAAAATGAATTGGTTAATAAATATTGCTCTACTGAAGGTATTAAGTGGATATTTAATCCTCCCGCACGCCACATTTTGGAGGGAGGATTATGGGAAGCTGCAGTCAAATCTACAAAGTTACATCTCAAGCGAACATAGGTGAACAACTTCTAACGCAAGAAGAATTTGCGACATTGCTAGCTCAAATTGAAGCTGTTTAAATTCGCGACCCTTTGTGTCCACTGTCTGAAGATCCATCAGAATTTTCTGCACTTACGCCAGGCCATTTTTTTAATGGTACCCCGCTAACTGCTTTACCAGAAGAAAGTTTACACGATCAAAAAATTCCTATATTGCAACATTGGAAGCTTGTTGAGAAAATGTTTCAAAGCTTTTGGAAAAGATGGTCCAATGAATACATTTCTAATTTGTAACAACGTTCAAAATGGTTGAAAGTGCAACCTAATTTAAAGGTTAATGATTTAGTTATCGTAAAGGAAGACAATTTAGCCCTGCTACGATGGAAATTAGGAAGAGTGCTGGAAGTTTTTCCTAGCTCAGATAATATTGTGCGTATTGTGAAGATCAAAACTGCTAATGGAGTTTTCAAAAGGCCAGTTCACAAACTTAGTGTTTTGCCTATCAATGATTAGGTTTTTTCGGCCACCAGAGCTCTCTGCCTGTCTGTGAGATATTATTTCGCAATGCGCAGATTGTATGCGCAGCTCGCATTTTATTCTTGCATTCTTAAAACCGCTAATTGTAACTCTGTTTTCTTACTTTGTGCTGTGTTGTGTTCGAAAGTTCAAACTGCCAAATAAAGGTTAATTTACAGTCCACTCGCAGTGATGTATTCTTAGGTTTATTAATTTAAAGTTAAGATACCGCTATGCAACAATCGGTATGCTTATGTTAGGAGCATATGTGTGAATATTTATAATAATATATTTGCAGTAACTGCTAAAGTATAGATAAACTTCAAAAATGGGTGTCTTTTAACGCAGATTAGTTTTCTAAGGAATAATATTCAGAATGGCATAAATAAAGTAAAAATAATCGAATAGTCCATTTTTTCCCCCCAATGCATTCATTATACAGTATGGAAGTTGGGGGTTCTCCCCTTTCTCCGCAAAATCTCGAATATTGAAACCGTTACAGTTCGCAGCAAAGCAAGCAACGGACTTTTTTTTGGTCACTTTCCAACCTGGATTGAATAGGACTAAAAGTTCTGCGGTCTACTAACCCAAGCGAAGAATGATTCTATTCCAGAAATGTAACGCAGTCTGTTAAAAATTTGAATAAAAAACACCCCAGATTGGTAAATCTGTTTATTAATCAATATGAGTATGGCAGGGATATAGTGCGGAGCACAATGTGTCTTGCTCGACGGTGAAAACCGGATGAAGCAAAGGCGCGTTTTATTTTATTTAGTTATTTATTCTCCGAATACTGGCAGCTGTTGATTCCGATTGCGTAATATCAAGTGCGGAAGAATAAAGGTGTACATATTGTGCAATAAGGTTTGCGATATTTTGCAGAGATAAAATATTTTTACTGTGCTTGCTAAGCAGATTATTTTTCAGTACAATTGGGCTATTTTTTATATGATGCACATATCCAAATGTCAAAAGCATTATTTAGCTGAAAAATCTAAAGAACGGCTAAAATCTACTAAACTTGAAATTACTAGTGCATGTTATGCACCTGAATATATGGTAATTATATATCATAAAATACATTGCTGACAATCAGATTTATACAAAAGTTTGTTTTTAGATACATGAAAGATGAAAAACAAGTTTTATCACTGGATAAATGATATAAAAAATCTAATAATTATATAATTAATACAAAATTATTATGTAAATAATTTATATACAATTTTATATCAATCTTATAATAAAAGAAAAAGTGTGTGTGTTTTTCGTTCGTGTTGCACGTAAGCTAATAGACCCAGGGTTACGAAATTTTGTACATAGGTGCATCTGGACAAGAGCCAATGCACCTCGAAGCGATTTTTTTTTTTCAAAATTCGAATCAGATTTTTTTTATTTTATCTTTTTTTGATGACATTGCATCATTTTGAGTAGTTTCATTCTTTTAGAAATGTAGTTTTGGCAACAGTTTTTCATTCAATGCTTTGTATACTGGACTGCTAACTGTTGAAAATATAAGATAAAATATTGCTTCATTCAATATAACTAAGGAAGTTTAGATCGGTAAAATAAGATTTTTTTCTTTTTAATCTTATTGTTGGTTTTAATTTTGCTAAAAAATCATTTTTTTTTAACTAAATTCGTAAATTTGTAAACATAAAATCAAAGAGCAAATACTTGTTCTTTTATTACCAGAAGCACCCAGCCATCTTTTTATAGATCACCTATTATCTGAACTTCTAATTATGGTAATTGAATGAAACTTCATAATTCCTTTATTTATGATATAAAAAATGTAATTTAAAAATATTTTTCAAAAATTCTCATTTTAAAATAATGTGGGCGTTAATGGGTTAAACTGAAATATCAATATTCAGTGATACGTGTAACATGTAAATTGTTTCAACTGCAAGTGATCGAACTGTGTTGAATTTTGGAAATTCATACCAACAAGCAATTTTCCAAATTTACATGATTTGGCTGTCTCATATTATTGTAGCTTTGGATAAACATATTTTTGTGAATAAATTTTTCCTATTTTGAATATAATAAAATCAAAATATTCAAGACTAACTGATATGCACATAAAACACCTAATTTTTTTAGCATTTCAGGAATTAATCCTAATATAATATCTTGGTAAGAAAACTACAAATTCACATTAAGTACTGACTGTTTAATAATTATTTAGAATTAAATTTTTCAAGTTATTTGTTCTTATTTTATATATAACCTAACTCACCTAACCTTAAAAAATGTTTATTAACAATAAAACCCAAGATTGTACTTTTGTTTTATTTATTAAATTATTTTTTAATTTTTCATTACTCAGACTTCCATGAAAAAAAAATCCCACAGCTAATCGTACTCTTCCCAAAAGGTTGGCCACCCCTGGTTTAAATGTGTATTTTGAATTATGTAATTATCTATTCAGTTTCTCAGTAATAAGTAATTTAATTTCTATAATATTCTTCTTACGGAATTATATTTTGTAGTAAACCTGTAAAATTGTCATTTACTTAGCTTTAATTTGAAATCTAGTTTGTTTAGTTAGGGAAATTTGATGAGAACCTTGTGGATGTGCTGTTTGGAACCTCATAAGTATTTTCATAAACCTGCCAAAGATTCTTAAAACCTCTCCAGAAATTTTCCCTCTCCAGAAATCAAACTTATTAAAATTTTAATTCTCTTAAATAATATTATTATTTGTATACTGGACCTTTTTTCTTTGGGGGTAGACATAAGTGTTAAGGAATAGATTAGAATTTCTAGGAATGACTTCTGAAAAAAAAAATCAATGATCCTCCCCCCCGTTTTTTTGCAAACTGTGATTTGTCTTGCATGAATGCTACATGGTAAAAATCTGATGTGGGCACCACATTGACTTCCTTGTAATGCCTATTAAATTATACACATTTTTTTTTCTGCATTTCCATTTAAACCTATTTCCTCCTTAAGTTTTATTACAGATATATTTCTCATTCAAGTAATTCAGTACTCACTTTATGGCAAGGCAAAAAGCATAAAAACTCAAAACATCTTCGTTAAAAATTGCAAAATACAGAAAAACATAAAATGCAAAGAAAAAAAAAAAAAAAAAACCCCTCTTTATCTCCAGCATGTGGAACTGTGTATCAGAAATCCTAAAGATATGCTTATTTTAAAATTATTTTGCGACATTGCTATTGAACTGAATTTTATGATTTAAGTGCAAAGAGCATGATATTTAATAAATAAAGGTAACACAAAACGTTTAAAAAAATGCCCCTTTGGGCATAATTTAAAATCCCCCCCTTTTTTTTGTGTGTTTGTTTCGTAAGTATTAGGTAGCAGTAAATGTTTTAAAACTGTGCAGTTAGATCTTTATTGCGGATTCAAAATAAAACATTTTAATGCATAATTGGTTTATTTATTAGGTTGGATGGGAAGCATGTTGTCTTTGGCCAAGTTGTAGAAGGAATGGATGTAGTGAAAAAGATTGAAAGTTACGGCAGCCAAAACGGTAAAACCTCGAAGACAATCACTGTTGCCGATTGTGGTCAGTTGTAGACCTCATTCGGCCTTAAGCATTTGCGACCTTCATTCCATGTCTTCTCTTAATACAGAATTTTACTTGTGCTTGAGTACATTTTTGAAGATTTTTGCATTATTCTTTTGCTACAAGTTTACTTTTGTTTTATTTGTAATAATACAATGTGGATTTTTTTACCTAGAAATGTTCATATTAGTGTTGATTCTTCCTGAGGAACTGCCATACTAGATATTCTAGTATTATTCCTTTTAACAGCTTGTATAATCTCAAAAGGTTTTTTGAGACAAAATTAAGCATTTTTAGATACTGCTTTAACCATTTCCCCTCACGTCTCTATTTGTAGTGTAGCTTTCTTGTTACCTGACAAATAAAACTTATTAAATGTGAGTTTGTTGTGTAGATTTCTTTTATAAATACATTTAACAAACACCAGTTATTTTAACAAAATAACTGCATAGACTTGCTACTAATCTAAATAAAATGCAAACTAATCTTCTTATGAAATCATTCCTTATTTGTCAAAAGATTCATGTGTAAAAAAAATTGTACAATATTATTTTTAAAATGTATTGTAAAAATATTTTCACATAAACACACAAAAACAGAATACCTGCGATTTATTTTCTAATGAGATAAAGCATTTAATTAGTTGTTATTTATGTGATAGAAATGCTCCGAGAGTTTTCATGAGCATTTCAGAATGAATGAATTTCAGTGTTTCGTAAGCAACATGGATTAACAGAGGAAAATTAGTAATATAAAATACACAACTAATTTAACAATCTATAGTTATCCCAGTTGTATGAATTTACTTTCTTTATTTTCATAACTTATAATATTGCATCTGAATAAGCACTACTTTCTTTATTTTCATATCTTATAATATTGCATCTGAATAAATATAATTATTTTTAAATGCAGCAAATCTTGTCACTTCCCTAAGAAAAACATCTTTAGAAGTGACTAATATTTCTGAAAGGTAAAGTCTTTATTCCTTATTATGCAAGGTAAAAAGCTTCTTGTCTGACCAAAACCATTAAATATGTGTTAAGGTATATTGTGTGTAATTTCATTTTCACATTTCAAAAGTTTAATCCATTAAAAACAAATTGAGGACTTGTGTTTTGAATTCTTACTATAATAGTGAAACTACTCTTATAGAAAAGCAATAATAATCTTTTTTAAGCATGCTGAAATTTATTGTAAAAAGACTTGATTTCAAGGATTATGATGTAGCACTGTTTAAATTTATCAGATTCCTAAATAGTTTATATAATTTTTTTAATTTTTCTGCGTAGCTGGTAGTACAGACCGAAAATCCGCCAACTCCTGAAACCTGCATTGCCTCTCAAAATATAAACATTCAGTTTATAGGTTCCGGAAACCGCAATATTGAGTATGAAATATCAAAGAAAAAATACTTACCTAATAATAATGAGTCATAATGGAAATACCAAATTATTACAGTTTTAAAAAATAAGATAAAAGTTTTTTTCCCCTCTAATCTTTGCATCAAGGATAAAGAAAGCGGATTGATTCAACTCAACTCTTCTGTTCAAGTTCACGATTCATGTTGTTGTATTTTCTGAGCTTTGTTATTTCATGAGATTATTTAGTGCTGCCTATTTTTTTTATTCCGGATATTTTGTGGATAAATTCTGAATATTTTAAATTTCAGCACTTTTTAATACAACGACACAGATTAGAAAGGCATTCGGGATTTTAACTACTTGCAACGTTGAAAAATGTAAACACGTTGCATTGACGGTAATGCAAAAAGTGCAAATTCTGCAAAAGATGGCGACAGGTGCTACTTCTCGGTTTATAGCAGAATCATACGGAATTGCGATACGATTGTGTATGATATACGGAAAAATAAAGAAAAGCTGTTGAAATTTTACAGCAACAGTGATTCTAACATCGGAATCCGAAACCAGAAATCTTTGCATGAGGCGAAATCGGCAAACCTCGATGCTGTGTATATATAATACAATGAATAATATAATAAATTTATATATGTAATAATAATTTAATTAAATATATCTAATACGCCTTATTTATTTTGCTCTTTTAGTCTGAATATTGTGATTTATCTTTTCGTCCTAAAATCCGCACAACCTCTGGTTTGAAGCTTTGCGGATTTCTGGAATTCTACTGTATTTAATGAAGCTGTGTTTAGGTTGCAGTGAGGCAGCTTGTTTTGCTTTTAGATGCCATTACAATATCAGATGCCTTTATAGGTTTTGCTGTGTAATCAAAGTATGCCTGTAAAATATTTGAAAACTTCCATAAAACTTACTAATAATAGTAGTCACAATTAATTTATAAGCAAAAACGATTCAATCATTTCAACTTTTTTTTTTTTTTTTTTCATTCCCCTTTCTAAACTTAATGAAATTGTATCGGAAGTCACTGAAGGCAGGGAAGACACAGTGCTAGGATAGCTGCTAATAATCATGGTTCCAGATGGCTCATGTTTCATCTCTCATTTCCCCCCTAAATCTAAGACTTTCCTGATTTTTAGATTTTATAATGAAAATATTTTCCAGTAGTAGGGGAAATTTAATTATGGAAATTCTATTATTCACAGCCCTAGTGATTTGCAGCATAATTTTTCGTATTAAATTTTTATTTCATCTGAATTATTGCAGTATACTGGATCTTAATATATCTGAAGTATTTTATTATACATTACTAGAATTTTTTATAAAGATTCAACCAATGTTTGATCAGTAAATATTTGTATTTAATTTTGTTTTACATCAATTTATAGTATATTACTCAATTTATGCATGCATTAATTATTAACTTTTTTCATGTATAAAAGATCTTTGATAAATTAAAGCTCTCTCTCCGTACTTGATATTTGCTCAGTATAAAAATGTAAGAAAACTAAAGGGAAATTAGTCAAATTTTAAAATTTAGAATATCTAATTAAAAATTAAGAGTCTTATTATAAATGGTTGAATAATCTAAATCAAGTATGATAAATTAAGCCAGTTTAGAGTTCCTTTTTCATTAATGTTACCACTCAGTTCATAAAACTGTTTCTGTCTTCTTTTTTTTTTTTTTTTTTTTTTTTTTTTTTTCCAGTAGACACTGCTTAATTTGTTCACAGTTATGATTCAGATACTGTTATCAAATTGCTGTTCATTCATATACAAAAACATGGAAAATACATCGCTTATTATGATCAACAATGTTATAAAATTAATTTTTCAAACTGAATTAAATTCTCCAAATAAGATCAAAATACCCAGAAGGGCTATTAATTTCGTTTTGGCACTTTGCATTGATTCACTATAAATGTCGGTTCACTTGTCAAATTGTTGTCACCAAATATTAGAGCCCTGCATTATACTTAAATGAAACTGCGAAATAATGAAGAATACGCATGAATGTTTAACGGTACCTAGAGCCATCCAATTTTGAATAACGTTGTTCCTCCAACTAGACCATGGGCACTCTGGAAAGCTTGAATTTTGAATTTGCTTTATTATCTATTTCATATTTTGTAAAACTTTAACGAATTTTTTATTAAGAAATTCAACGATTTCAAAGCCAGCCATGACAGCACTGTACCAGGGAGGGGTGGAATTTTATATCTAGCGTGCGAGACTGTGTATCGGAAATTCTAAAGATATGCTCATTTTAAAATTATTTTGCGATATTGCTGTTGATTGAATTTTATGTTAAAGCACGAAGAACATGAAATTTAATACATAAAGATAGCACACAAAACGCTAAAGAAGAAACACCCCTTTGGACATGATATAAAATCGGAAAGCTTTCAAGTTTTTTTTTTTTTTTTATTTTTATTTATTTAACTAACTTTTAAATTAGACAATAAAGCAAGCTTTTTGTTTAGTTTGTCTCACATTTTGAAAAACTGTTGATTTTGCCCTGCCTGTATCTGAATGGTTAAACATGCTGAATATTGGTAATTTGAGGGTTCAAGCCCAGGTGAACAGTCTCACTAGTTTGCCCATGTGTAACATAAATATAAGCCAGTTTTTCTCAGAAAGTATCTGTCCTCTTAACCCAATAGCTTTAGTGGCTTTTCCATATTCAAGTAATATAACCTGTTGATTATGAGAGCTATTAGACACAGATCTATCTTCAGATAGAAGATAATTGTTTGCCAATGATATAGAAGATGAAGACGATAGCTGATGTTTGCAAACATCCATACATGTCATGTAATAAACTCTCTAGAATCTAAAGAAGAAATCGGGTGAATCCCTAGAAAAGGCCTCTGAATATTAAGATTTGGGGGTACAATGGTGATCAAATAACTTCTAGGAACATTAGGCACAGGTTTGTAAATGAACTTTTGCAAAATGCTTGGGAACAATCCTTTAGTAATGACTTTTTTTGTGGTTAAAATGCTAAACATTTGTTTGTTTCTATTAATAATAACCTATAAATCTAGTGCTGACTTGAAGGATATTTTTCTTATCGTTATGCTTACTGTATCTCAAGGCAGGCAGCTATGGTGTGATAAAATAATGTACACTGCACAAAAAAAGGGGGCGACAGCTCTATATCTCTCGTTCTATTGGGCCGTTTGACGAAATTCAACTTGCGTTTTTCATATCTCGAAAGCGTGACTTATTGTATGTATTAGATTTATATATAGCATCGTTCCAATATAAGTATTTTGACACAAAATCGGACTTTTTCAGAAATGACATACCAATTTTTTTCCATATTTCCATTCTACAACTCGCCCTCAGGGGCTCACTTTTGTGAGTACGGGTGTGGCAATCCCGAGGTACCCTAGCCCTTCAGGGGATCATCTTCTTGATGAGACGGGTGTCACGATCCTGGAGCCCCAGTGATCTATCCTCTTTTCCGTCTCCTCTCCTCTTGGCTGGAACTTTTCCCCTTCCCTTCCCCCTCGTGGTTTCTCTCTACGGAGTTTGGGGCTCGTCACGAGAGACTGGAACATCCCTTGCATCTAGTTTTCGAGTGGCGAGAAAACTGCCCACGTGTTTGCCGTGTGTGGAGACCCGTGTCGCTGGAAAGGAGGGTCCTGGTAGTTGAGGGGCGAGGTACTGTCCCCAACACACTGCTTTGGCCTCTGCTTCAGCTAAACGGGAGGCACCTTAGTAGTCGTCCTCACGGGTGTCAATCGGCTGGTCACTAGTCCTTGTGTCAGTGGCTTGGGGTCAAGCTCTCGGGAGTACCTGCTTTCGGGAAAGCCGACTGTGGGGCTTCAGTTTGCGTATAGGTCCGGCTAGCCCTAACACAGGAATCTGTGTTCCCTTGTTGGGCTCCGTGGTGGGCGGGGCCGTCGGACCCGAATCTTTATTTTTTCAATATGGCTTCCTTTTATTTTTAAAAAAAAACTCCGAATCAAATGATACCAACAAAGATATAGAAAT